AGTGTAGCCTATCAGTGGTTTTACGGCTGGGTACATTGTGTTTGAAAACACATGCAGAGATAATCGCACTCAGGTGGCTGATATGTTTGAAAAGATAGACAAGATGGTGCAGTTGAATGGTTACAACCCTTATACCTGGAGCATGTACGAAGAGGCCCAGAGAAAGAAGAAGTCAAGGGAATGGCGGAGCAAGTGGGGAAACAGTTTGAACAAGTACGGTACTAGTTTGTTAACTGCAGCAACAATCACAGCTGGTGTTGGTGCTGCTGCTGGTGCTGCTGCGGCAGCAGAAGAAGTAGTAGTTGGAACAGTAACACCACTTCTATGGGGCGCAGGTGGAGGGATTTTAAAAGGCCTTGGGTGGTGGATAACACCTAAAAAAGACAACTGACTCATATCATGCCATGATCCTTTAAAGTTACAGAGAGGAACTTTTAACCTGTCTTTGTGTAATAGATGCTGCCTCTGTATGACTATATACATAGTAAACAAGACCATCAATCCAAGTCAAGATTGGGTTTTTTTATGAGGTTATTCTGAATACTTGTCATTGGTGCATACATGTCTGATTTTGGCTGAGGCAGGGGATATCATACAGGACCAGAACCAGAACCTGCAGTCAGAACAACACAAAAGGAAAGTTCCTCGTAGTAACTTTAAGCAAACTTGTGAAGTCATTCCATTGATTGCCTTTTTTGAATACATGTAGGAAAAATGTCATTGCTTAATGTACATTCATAAATATCAAACACAACCTGCATTGAACGATATATAAACTCTGAATAACCAATCTTATATTGATTCTGTACACTCTTATCCTGAAAATGATTTTGTATTGAAAACACTATTCTTCCTTGTGTATGTTTTACTAGTCATAATGAAATAAAACAATGTGGTTTTAACTTTTGAAACTGTTGTTTGATGTATTAAAAAAAACGTTATTAGAAATTACTCCCTGTTGTGTAAGCAAGAAATCTAACCACATCATCCAGGGCTCCACACTGCTGTTTGTTTTTCATAAACCAAGTCTGGTTGATTGCATAAGATAACGACCCACTGTGGATCTTGTGTAAAAAAAAACACAAATCTCTTATGGGACAATGCTAACTGAAAAACATGAACTTCAGTGTACATAACACCACATTTATCACCCATCAGTCTCAAGTTAAAGGTCCACGTGATATTAAGATAAAACTCCTACACAATTACAAGTTATATTAGGATCTACCTGGTTTGTTTTACATGAAAGGTTACAAGGTTGTTTGAAACTCCTGTTACTGTGCAAGCATAATTCAACAGCTGCCAAAATGCTTTTATGATTGCTAATGGTTTTATCAAAGTTGATCAATGTAACCAAACCTACATTCAATATTTGTTTTGTAAAGATATTTAACAAAGCAGTGCAGCTTAGCTTGAATAGAACCGCAGCCTTGTTAATAAAAATTCTCAAAGGGGACGACTGGTACTACTTTAATACAGGCACCACATCAGAAAAGCTACTTTCACTAAGGTTCAAAAGGTTAAACCTTGTATTATTATTAAGAGAGACATAAAACATATCGCGGAGCAGGGTTTTGTTCATGATCTGTTTGGCTTTGATTGGGGAAAAATCGATCTGTGTGCTGATGTAGAAACTGCAAGGTCTTATTTTTATCTTGGTTTTATGGAGATCATTGATAGACATGCACCCCTGCGTAAATTTAGAGCAAAGTGACGTGACAATCCTTGGTTTTCTGCTGAACTGTCTAGTCTCCTGCATGAGAGAAACAAGGCCTGGGCAAAGGCTAGGAAATCAGGCTCAGAGGTAGAATGGCTGCGTTTTAGGCAGCTAAGGAATAGCTTCACTTCACATGTCAAAAGTGCTAAGTCCAAGTACTATTTGTCAGTTACCACAGAAAACCTAAATAATCCTAGGAAATTTTGGAAAGCCAAAAAATCTATATCCACCGGTGAGATCCGTAATGAGCTACCTCCGTGCCTTACCACAGCATCTGGCTCTATATCGGACAGGGCCACTATGTTAAATTGCTTTAATGAGCATTTTGTGTCCTGCAGTTCTATGTTTGATTCTGTGACTAACTCTAATGCTGAGAACACCCCAATCCGTGACTCTGAACAATGTGGTCTGGAAAACCCTTTCAGTTTTACTCCTTTTACTGTCAATGTTGTTCATGAAGCATTATAAGCTAGATCCTAAGAAGCCGGCTGGCCCGGACAACGTAGAACCTTTCTTTTTAAAGATAGCTGCAGATTTTATTGCTCTTCCTCTTACTACTCTTTTTAACCTCTCCCTCAGCACAAATGCAATTCCAAAAGTATGGAAGTCAGCTTATGTCTTGCCTTTACTAAAAGGAGGAGAGGCAACTATTTTAAATAACTATAGGCCAATCTCTAAATTGTCAGTTCTGGCGAAGGTGCTCGAACGCCTAGTGAGTGAAGTAAAGGAGTTTTATGTAAAAATGATATCCTGTCTAAACATCAGTCAGGTTTCAGAAAGCAACATAGCACCATCACTGCAACAATGAAAGTGGTGAATGACATTACAAGTATTTTAGATAATAAGCAGAGTTGTGCAGCTCTATTTATTGACCTGTCCAAAGCGTTTGACACCGTCGATCATTGCTCCTTAAAGCAGAGGCTGGTCAGTATTGACATATCCAGCCATGCAGTGGGGTGGTTTGTGAACTACCTCTCTGAAAGGTCACAATGTGTTCACTTTGATGGGCTGTCTTCTGAGTGGTTAAACATTGCTAATGGTGTTCCTCAAGGTTCTGTTTTAGGTCCACTTTTATTCTCCATATATCAACAGGTTAGGTGAAAATGTGGATGAAGCTACTTTACATTTTTATGCGGATGATACCGTTATGTACTGTGCAGGTCCCTCCATTAAGGAGGCTGGTGTTAAATTACAGGCTGTTTTTAACATTATTCAGACTCAGCTCGCTGAGCTTAAGCTTCTTTTAAATGTTGATAAAACCAACGTAATGCTATTTTCAAAGGCTAAAAAGACACCAGAGCCTGTTTTAGATATTGTTACTATGCAAGGACAAGTACTAGAAGTGGTTACCTGTTACAAATACCTTGGTATCTGGCTTGATGATTGTCTTAATTTTAAACTTCATGTCAATAACCTGCTTAAAAAGCTGAGGGTTAGGCTAGGTTTCTTTTTCAGAAACAAGTCCTGTTTCTTGCTTGAGG